TCCTTGCTTCCTTGCTTCCTTGCTTCCTTGCTTCCTTGCTTCCTTGCTTCCTTCCTTCCTTGCTTCCTTGCTTCCTTGCTTCCTTGCTTCCTTGCTTCCTTGCTTCCTTCCTTCCTTCCTTGCTTCCCTGCTTCCTTGCTTCCTTGCTTCCTTGCTTCCTTGCTTCCTTGCTTCCTTGCTTCCTTGCTTCCTTGCTTCCTTGCTTCCTTGCTTCCTTGCTTCCTTGCTTCCTTGCTTCCTTGCTTCCTTGCTTCCTTGCTTCCTTGCTTCCTTCCTTCCTTGCTTCCTTGCTTCCTTGCTTCCTTGCTTCCTTGCTTCCTTGCTTCCTTGCTTCCTTCCTTCCTTCCTTCGTTCCTTCCTTCCTTTCTTCCTTCCTTCCTTCCTTCCTTCCAACACATCTCCGTCGACCACTCAGTCTCGCTCCCCCGCGGCGAGTGTAACTAAACGAGAACCCAAGCATCGGAGATGCTTTTGGGAAAAAATAGTTGATTCCCTGATGTGGATTTTGCGAAGGTTTCCCAGCAAATAGTGAACATAAACCATATATCCAACACAAAATCGAACAGATAATGAATGAACTCTTGCAAAGTTTCTTCCAACCAGCAGCTAGTTGTTTACCTCTCATGGCAAACCGGTAAGATGACTTCTCAAAAGCCTCTTCATGGAATCCTACCTCAGGTGCGATGCCTTCAGCTGCGATTGACAAAGACCAGGCAGTGAGCCGAGCCATCGTGCTGTTGACCTCTTGACGGACCTGAGGATTGTTGAGTGGAAGGGTGGTAAAATTACCAATAGCAGGTATACATCTAACCCTAAAAGCAGCTAGTTAAATAATCAAAATGTTTCTTTGTAATTTCACCCAGAAACTGCATGATCCTGCATGAACCTTTCAGGGATTATAGCCATTGGAAACTTGGTGAGGAGCACATCCTTGATAAACCCTGAACTTCCAAACGCTGATCCAAATGACCACACAAAGTTCTAATCATCCCTGTAAAATTGGGCACCATCACAATGCAATGTAATAGGTATCAAGGATTCATAGTCAATCCCGTCTTGGCACAACACCGGGTGATCCCCCCATGCATCCAAAGACTTGATGTGTTCGAAGAATCGTCGCCGAGCTGTTCCCTCCAAGTTCCCCAGAAGGATTGAGCTAAATGCATGTGGGGAGCAGCATGATGCTAGACAATGAAGAACTTCATGGGGTAGGAGAACTTTGACCGGTGTTCGCTTTGGTGTCTTGCCAGAAACCTGGGCTAAACATCCCATAAATTTTGAAAACATTTGGAACCATGTCCAAACCACTTGAACCATGTTTTCCAATTTTTCTGGGAAACTTGAAGGTTGAGGTAAATTGTATATGCCTGGAGTCTGAAATTGTAAAGGCCCCGTAGCCACCGATGAAGATCCCGTTCCATGTTCCCCCGGTACTCAGTGTCAGCACCCAAGCTTGCAAAAGCTTGGATGGCAGGGTGTGGAAGCTCCTGATGATCATCAACCTGAGCTGAAGGAGTGATTGTGGGTCGGGCTGCTGGTCTTGCAAAACCCCACAACGAGATCCCATTGGCACAACTGACCCAGTACATGTGATTTTGAAATCTAGACGAGAATCAATCGTGGATGCCAGTTCAGCTGCAGCACAGACAGATATTTTGCCACGACCAACCAAATCTGCAAGTTTGTGGACTGTCTTGGACTCTGGGTAGCTCTCCAATCTTTGCCTTTTCCTTGCAAGGGAATCCAAGAATTTATGATGCAATTACCTCTTTTGGTCAAGATAAATCTATGATCTCGTTTGATAAAAACCAATCCAAACCTTTTTAGATCAAAACTCTTTTGATCAATGGGTTGATTATTTTGCATTGTCGCATCAGCTGCAATGACTGGGCCGCCCATGTAGGTGCCTGGAAGTCGTTGCAAATGGCGTCGGTGGACCTGGCAAGACATGAGGTGGCCCCCGGGTCAAGAACCCCAATGCTGCCAACTAGGTTTTTTGGGTGAATTAAATAAAGCCCCAAACAAACAAATATAGACAGGGTACTGTTGCAACATCCTTGGTCTTCTGAACCGAGAAAATCATATTAGCGGTCGAACTGCTCATCCAAAAACTTTTTGAAGCTTTTCGGGCACAAAGCAACGCTGGTTCTCTGGATGGATTGTCGCCCCATGACCCGGGGCAACCCAGCACTTTGAATCAAAATTTGGATGACCGAGATTCAACATGGTTCGGCCCACTATACTCATGAGTTTGGATATGCTGGTTGCTCTAAGGGGGCACGGAACTGGCCACAAGTGATAGTACTTGTACCACACCCCAAATGATTCTTTGAATCAAAACTCCCACAGCTCAATTGGCTGCTTTGGTCTTGGCCCGTCCTTTGCCCTTCTTACCAGAATCCTTCTTTCCTTTCGGTTTTGTCTGTGGCTTCAACAAAGCCGCAGAGGCAACCTGCACAGCAGATGATAGAAAGGGCTGATTGAAAGATAAATTTGCATACCCCAAACCACATAAAATTATTGTAAGTTTGAGGGTGCTCATAAATCATTGTAGATGTAAATATTTGTACCTTATACCTCCTTCACCCCATGTGTTTTGTATAGCTTTAACATATACCCCTATTCCGTCAATTTCGACCCCGCAAACATCATATCCTTTTAGTGGCACAGAGCACTTGTATGAGTATATATACATATCATTGTCTCCAGTACCCCACACGACGGCATTGAGTGCCCAGGCCTTAGCCTTTGCTGTGAATGCCGTGGCTTCTCCGATTTCCGCCATCAAGGACTTGAAATCTTTTTCACATGCATTTGACTGCATGGCTTTCTCGGTGCTTTTGTAGAGACCCTCAAGTTTGGAAGCGTGTTCCAAAAGCTGATCTGACAGCTCTTTGGCATAAGGGACATTGCCTAATTTGATAGACTCAGTCCTTGCCTTTGCAGCGTCAAGAAGCAGTTCCCCCATGGCATCTTTAGCCTGCTCCTCCCAAGTCTGCGGTTTGACCTCCTCTGCCCCAGATTTCTCCTCTTCTTTCTTTGGCTTCTTCTTTGGAGCCGCTGTGACCTGAACGAATTTGGAAGATTTGAGAACATGATCATATAAGAAGACAACTGTGTCAGGGGTCTTGTTGTGAACTTGCTTGAGGTTTTAAGCCACTTAGAGTACATTCCTGAATATTTGATAAACAGGTATGCGTTAGATTTTTCACTAGTTGGATTGCACCTGCAATGAAACCCCTCTGCCATCCCCATGGCTGGGCCTTCTCAAGTGCATCCAGGAGCTGCTTGTTGCCATTGGCCGAGTTGGTCTGCATCTTTGGAAGAGCACCAGGCCGCATGATTCCCTCGTCGGCGTCGGTCAAAGCTTGTCGTAGAGCAGGGTCTACATCCATAGATCCCTTCAAAGTCATGCTCTCTGAAGTGATGTCCTTCCTCTTGAAAGAATTCCCGATCCTCATGAAGTACCAAGCTTCCTTGGCAGGAATAGGCTTGAAACTGTCTAAATTTGGAGTTGTGGGACACTCTTCAAAGTCTTGATGCAATTTGTTTGCATGGCAGATCTTGAAACTGTTTGAATTTGGAGGCATGGTGAAAATGTGAGGGGGACAACCCTTGCGACTTTTCTGACTCTTCATGAAAATTTTGGAAACTGATGTTTGCTAGCTCTTGATGAATCTTCTCAGCATGATAGAGGCCCTGTTTCAAAAATATAACCGAGACTCAATGGGGTCATCAGGGAAGTCCTCGTCAGGGTACCACAATCCAGCATCACGCCTGGATTTCATGATCTTCTCAGCTCGTTCGGGGTTGTTCTTGTACTTTTTCTGGATCTCGTGGCCTTGCATGGCACACCACCCCTTTTCAGCTTCGTTCTGTTGCTTTAAGGTGCGCTCCAAAAGTAACTGGCACTTCGTCCAGTCTTTCTCTGCGTCTAACCACATCCCAAACAAGCATGTCTTGTTTGCCGAAGTTTGAGCGTATTCTGAAACTTGGCAGGGGATCCGATTGTTGGACTTCAGTTGGCGACAGAAGCTGTCCCACTCACGTTTGTTTGTGGTGGAATTTCTCAAGGTTTCACATTTCTTCTCAGCAGCTTTGGTAGCTTCAGCCAAGGCATGGCCAGTACCATCTGTGGCAGTGGCAGGTGCAGCAATCTTCGTTGCCTTGGTCTCTTTATCTTCCTCTACTTCTTCATCGCTCTCTTCTGCCTCCTCTTCTTCGCTTTCTAACTCTTCCTCATCTTCCTTCTCCTCATCACTATCGAGCTCAGAGCCTGGTTCACTGACTTCTTTCTCCTCTTCGCTTTCATCACCATTCTTCTCATCATTTGGCTCCTTTGTCTCTGCAACATCCTTTGTCTTCTCAGCCTCCTCGATGTCTTCAAGAAACCCATCCATGTCAGTGTCCTGGCACTCGCTCGACTCATCGGAATCAGAAGCTTGAAGCAAAGCCCCCAGAGATTGCAGATGCATCTCAGCACGCTCCCTGGAAGAAGAAGACTTTGTAGAGGGAGTTGAAAAGATGTGCTCCACCTTGGACTTCTGACTTGGGACAAACTTGATGGGTGGTTCCTTCTTCTCTTTATCATTCTCCTTATCTTTGCCTTTCTTCTTTTCGTGGGCCTTCTCCACATTCGCCTTTTCCCTACTTTTCTCATCAAGCTTTGCCTTCTGTTTCTCGACTGAAGCGTTTCTGGCCTTCTCCTTCTCGATCTTCTCCACCTCAAGCTTTCTGCTTTTCTCCTTCTCAACCTGAGCCTTTTGGTCCTTCTTCTCCGCCTCTTTCTTTCTGGTCTTCTCCTTCTCAACCTCAGCTTTCCTGGTCTTCTCCTTCTCAGCCTCAGCTTTTCTGGCCTTCTCCTTCTCAGCCTCAACTTTTCTGGCCTTCTCCTTCTCAGCTTCAGCTTTTCTGGCCTTCTCCTCAACCTCCGCTTTTCTGGCCTTCTCCTCAACCTCAGCTTTTCTGGCCTTCTCCTTCTCAACCTCCGCTTTTCTGGCCTTCTCCTCAACCTCAGCTTTTCTGGCCTTCTCCTTCTCAGCCTCAGCTTTTCTGGCCTTCTCCTCAACCTCCGCTTTTCTGGCCTTTCCCTTCTGAACCTCAGCTTTTCTGGCCTTCTCCTTCTCAACCTCCGCTTTTCTGGCCTTTTCCTTCTGGACCTCAGCTTTTCTGGCCCCCTCTTTCTCAACCTCAGCTTTTCTGGCCTTCTGCTTCTCAGAACCTTTGGTCTTTGAGAACTTGTCGCCCTTGCGAACCTCTTTGCACACACTTTTGGATGCCGAAGACGTAGAACTTGCTCGATCCTTTTTCTTCCCTGCCAAAAAGTCACGAATCCTGGCACTGGGAGACCCAGAGGAGGATGTACTCTGCTTCCTCAAAGCAGATGGCCTTTTGTTGGCACTGCTATCAGGAGCAGACTTGCTACGGTGACGTTTTCTTGGTGCTTCCATTGCTCTTGGACAGCTGGGATTGAAGGACCCTGAAAATTTGATCCTTTATAGATGCAATTCGCACGATTGTTTCTGAAGTTCAATCTGAAATTCAAAAAGAAAATGCTTGGCCACATGCTTGAAAAAACGCTAATCTACTAGGCGCACGTTTTCGCACTTTTGCGCACGTTTTTCTCTCCAAAGAGCACTAGTGGATTTGGATGATTTGTGATGTTTTTTTTTCAAATCCAGCCGGGTTGTTGGTGAGTTGTGATGATTATGATTCAAAATGGGCAACACCCAGTTTCCCTGATCCCTGGCCGCTTCGGCTGCAAACAGGCGAGAGTTGCCAAGAGCCCTTTTCAGAAAGAGGCGTGGCATACTTGTCCTGCGTGTCGGTGCAGTAGAGAAGCATGTTGGGGTTAGAAGGGGGGCAACTATATAAACATGTAACCAAACAACCAATAGTACCAGTTTGGAAAGTCTTGTGAATCATAAAGGGGCCATCCCTGGGGAACCCAAACAAATCGATCGACCTATGTATTTCAGGGGCTGCTTTCAGATTACCCTTTCTCAACACCACAAAAAGGGACTACAACAGTCCGTGATTTAGCCACCTCAAAATGAAGAGCTGTGAAGGCACCATTTTTTCCCCAATGCTCGAAATGCTTTTTCTTTGAATGGGAACACACCCATGTACATGCGCCCCATGGCCCACAACCACTGGAAATCCAATGGTGTTGAATTTCACATTGAATTTGCATTGAAACTGGCACCTATTTGCCAGCTAGAAAATCAAGCACTGGCTGAAGGTTGGCCCCATTCACCCAAGCACGGTTCACTCTTGGTCTCATGTCATACTTGCTTGTGGTTGCACGGGCTGACCGCAAAAATGCTTTCGCCCTCCGCTGGATGCGCTTTGCATGCAAGGTTCTGCACTTCGCCAGAGCATCGCCAAACCTGGGACAAGGCAGGCAGCCGGGCTGTATACATAAAATACGTTTGATATGTACATATACACCATATATCTCTATATATATATATATATATTGATCCCTTTATGTATATTATATATATGTATATTTATAGACCCATATATTATGTATATTTATATATGCCCAAATTATATATATATATATACCCATATATATATTATCGAAATATATGTATAGACATATCTTCAGATACATTTTGAAATATATGGGGGTTCTATTAGAAAATTGTTATATGGGGATGTCTCGCCCTGGGTGTCCACTTTTTTTTTGATGATCCACCAACTGAACACTCGAAAGCTAAGAAACTGTCTTGGGTACGCCTGTGAACCTTTAAGATCTGAACCACCATGGCACCTCGCCTCACCTTTTCCGTTGGTGTAGCGAACCACCATCTGTTTGTCCTCAAGCTTCTCCGGCACCGTGTGCTCATCAATGCTGTCGATTTCTCTATGGCCTTTGATCCAGGAAAGAAGGGTAAAGAGTTTTAGCTTGAATGGGGGGTTCAAAACTAATTGCAGACCCTTTGGATTGGGAACCCCAGTTCAACCGAAACTTCTTTGGATACTAACCCCTATAGATCCTTTAGGTTGATGCAAAACATACCTTCAAATTCCAAGCAAAGTGGCTAGAGTAGAGAAAGGTGCGCTTTTTGGTAGGGGCGCCATATTGACTCATGTCTATGGTCTTTCGCACTACCCCAGAAAGGAGCCGAAGCATTGCTTGGAAAAGTGGATGATATTCCATCAAGCTAGTGCTTGGCTGCTCCAATACCCACCAGCACCCCTTCGATGCTATGATGAGAATCAACACCAAAGCCCGCGCCGTCAACAGGTTTCCGAGCTGCACCGCCTTGGAGTCCTTACGGCCAAGAGGCCGGCTTTTGGTCCTCAGGGTGCTTCCTCGTGACCTGGGGCCGGGCATGATTCGATATACAAAAAACTTTTTGGCATCCATTTTGGGAGACATAACATCATAAGAAACCAAAATATCCACAATAGTGTCATCCCATAGTTTTGAGCATCATTGCATTGATCCATAGTTTTGGTCATTATTTCAACATGGCTTTCTCCAAACAAACAAACCGATGCTGATTCTGGTAAGGAGCATAAACACCCATGTGCTGCAAACTGGTGCTGTCATGTGGCCAGAACCTGGCTCCAAGTTGGCTGCATAGAATAATGCGTTCGCGAATCCAACATTGGTGCTAAGATCCATGTTCTCAGGGTCAAGAACAACGTCGAATGGTTGCGCTGCACGACCAGCCTAACAGCACATTTTTTGTGGGCACCTCTTGACTTAATTGTAAGCACATTGTGCGATGCTTGGGGTTGACCACATTGGAAACACTTAAATTGTTGTCATACCATTGCTAGTGGCCAAGAACGGATTTGGAAACAATTGTTGGGGTCCTCTTTGAATACCCAAAAGAATTTCGTCTTTGAGGGTTACAAATAAAATCCGAGATGCACGCCACTCAGCTTTCGTGACCTCCATGTCACCACTGAATGTCTCCAAGTGCTGGCCGGGGGTGTCCCAAGACAGCCCGGGCACCGCAAAGAGTAGGGACACCAATGTGGCAATCGCCTAAGGCCCCCAGTTGAATATCATGGGTAGATTAGATAATCAAAAGCCACATGAATTTTTCATCCCACTTTAAATGCTTTGGTTGGTCCCACTATATCATGGGTGAAGAATCAAAAGCCACATGATTTTTTCATCCCACTTTAAATGCTTTGGTTGGTCCCATTATATCATGGGTAAAGAATCAAAAGCCACATGAAATGTTCATCCCACTTTAAATGCTTTGGTTGGTCCATTTTTAGAAACATTGCAGTCATGCTGCGATTGGTGCCCCCAGGTGCTTCAGCCCTGCCAAAATAGAGGCCCGCTGCTTCCCCTTCATGTTCCGGGGAAAGGAAGTCGAATCTGAACAATCATCATCCACCTTGAAGGGCAAATCCTTCTTGATGGTCTTCAAAGATTTTTTCCCCACGGTTTTTTTGCCCATGATTGGAAGCGAAGCAGATCTTCCAAATCCTATTGATCTCGAGCCCCAAATTACCTACAGATGTTCGACATGATTTTCTGATCAACTCTGCGCCAAGACAAACTAAAACGTAATTCCACGCTGAAACAAAAAGGGATGTAAACCGTATTGATGTGGGCCACCTGTAAACGCCCGTCCCCCACAGCAGCATTGTCCTTCTTCAGTTTTTCATCCGGTGTCCATGGTGTACCTGGAATGGGCAAGTGTTTGGGAACCTTGATAGAACCCCTGTGTTTGGGAAACTATATGAGTTGAAATAGATCTTGAACACTCATGGGAACTCATGGGAAGGTAGTACTGGTTTAACCGTTTAACATGAATAGGAAAGAATTTTGTTTTGACAGTATTCTGTGATTCCCCAAATCCAAGCCGAAGTCGCCCAAACATTTTTTGGCCTTGCTGCGGTGTTCCAAACGCTGCCTCCACGATCTAAGAAAGCAGCTATTTGCACAAGTACCCCAAAATGATATAGCTTTGCAATGCCAACATGACTCCATAAGACATTGAAATTCCAGATTCATTGGTTTTTTGTAATGGGTTGAAATGTAATCAAGCTAAGTTCAGCTAAGCTGGCATTGACACCCGCTTCAAACATCCAAGGATCTAAGGGTTGACATTGAACCCAGCTCTGGAAGCAGCTACCACCCATGCTTTGGCTGGTCCCCCATATTTTGACCAGGTAACCTGGCCCAGTCCCTTCCTGTCACCAGACCCGCTTGCCACGGATTCATCCAATCGCTTTACCACGAAGGCGCGAGACTTGAGGAGAACCTCGATGGCCTTGGCCCCAAGCCGAAACCGAACGAGGGCGAAGATTCATTGGAATCAGGGGTTGAACAACCTTTCACCGAATCTGTTTGGGATGATAGTTGACCCCAGTAGTAGCCTGAATTGATTGGGGTTGAAAATGAAATGGTGTCAGATAATGGGAATTGTCCAACTTTGACCCCGAACTAACACATGAAAGGGTGGAGGCCAGTCAACTAGCAACCTGATTTCATCAAAACTGGAATTGAACTGGTTTTCAAAACTGGTTTGGACGAATGTGAGATCAATAGATTTTTCAAATCGATCCCAAACCAAAAAGGAAACACAGTTTTCATTTGAGGAGTTCAATTCGAATGTTTGAAAGACAAGTGGCCCCACCCTGAGGTGAGCGAAGTGTATATCCATGCTGACCCATGTACACTTGATTGGCAAGGGGTCGTGCACTATGGGGTACTTCCAACTCGTCAAGGTTGTACTCCCTGAACTTCTCCAAGACAGCCCCAGATCCACCCATCACGTCATGTGCGCCCTTGTCTTTGGCCTTCAAAGCTGTCATTTTCTTCGCCTGAGATGAAATAGAGGCAAAAGAATGGTAACCGTGGTCCCATGGAACATTTCATAGATATGAGCATGATGCTTCAATATATGATGCTATCACTTTGGATTTGACAAATCAGTGCGAATTCATAGGTATCATTTCTGATGTTTGTATGTTTGGCAAGGAACTGTTTGGTCCCCAACAATGTCTGGCGATGCAAGGTCTTGAAGGACTTGATCAGTATGTCGGGGCCGTTTGCAAGGAGGTGCGCGGCCGCAATCCCGGTGGTCCTCGATGGTCTCATCCAAATCCATCATGCTCAGGGCCTTGTTGAGGGGCCTTTTCTTGGGCACCTGCATTGGTGCCAGTGTGTGGTGGGTTGACTTTAAATGGGTATTGGTCAAAATTGGGTATATAGTACAAATGGATGGTTGCTTTTTTAAAAGACTAAACTCTGAAAATATGACCCATCACCAAATGAGGAGTGAAAGGTTCGATGGGAAGCATGTAAATGAACTGGGTATAAAACAAATGTATAGCTTCAAACAATGGAAAGGTTTCAGTTTTGTAAATGTTTTTCGTGGCAGATGCAGCACCACCCCACCAGTTGCACCTCTGCAGCTGGCTCCTTTGTTCCCGTCACTTCATTTTTTGCCTGCGAGGGAGGCCATGGTCAAGAAATAAAACATCATCATCATTATCATCATCATGCATCATCATCATGAACATCATCATCATCGTATTCATCATCAAAATCACCAACCTCATCAAAACGCAAACATCAAACCCCATCCTATCCCCCAAACACTGGAGATCCCAACAAACGCAGCCCCTTCCAGCCTTCTGGCGTCGAACCCAAGAATTGAAAGTGCTCCAAGAAGCCAACTCGCCATAGACATTGTTTCCATACTTCTCCAAAGCACTTCGGCACCACTTTTCATAACCCTTCCACATCACATCATCTTCCTGGAAACTGGCGCCAGCTTCGGATTCAAGGTCATGGCGAATTTCGGCCAAGAGGGTGACCAAAGATTCCTCCTTCTTCTCCTCCTTTTCCATCTGGTTGTAGTAGGTGTAGGCTTTGCCCAACCACCCGGACGAAACTTGGCTGTCTCTCCATTCCTCCTCCTTCCTCGCTCGAAACAACAGCTTCCTCCTCGGATTGGGAACACTGAGAAGAGGAATCGGATCCACCAAGCTTCAAAGTAGGAGCAATAAGGCTGTCCTGGCTGGCACCTGCATCCTGGGCAGGAGGGTCACCATGGGCACAGCTTGCTTCGGGAAGCTCCTCAGCAGAAGCAGGGCAAGATTCGCCGGCTTGGCTCTCATCACCATGAATCGATTCACCATCAATCGACTCTCCATCACCATCAACTGGCTCACCATCATCCCCACCCTCCATGGACTCAGCATCTTCAATGGGGTCAGCGTCGGCATGATCAGGCAAGGGCTCATCGTCCTCAATGGGATCATGGTCATTGTCGGATGTGGACTCAGGGTCAGAAGCGGCCTCATCTGGCCCTGGGCTATCACTTCCTGCGCCCTCATCATCACTAGGAGGACCACGTTGAGGGGATGGTGATGCTCTGAGGAAACTCTTGAGGTCTGTGATCCTCTCATCAGACCCAAATTCCTTGGAACTTCTCCAAAGTGCTCGAAGTGCTCCAACTAGCTTCTTCATTTTCAATCCTTCTACCCCGGCAAGGGACATGCGAGACTGGTCAGGGGTGGGTTTGAACAGTTTGCGGTCCAGCAATTTGTCCAGATAGATCCACACATCCGTCATCAAATAGGCAGATGGCACCTCATGGGCTCACAAGTTTTCAGGTTCCATGGACATGGCAAATCCTTCAACATGCAAAAACAATTAAAGGACCGGATAACCCCACAAGTCAACTTCTTCCAACAAGCAACAAAAGAAAGGCAAAGACGGCATGGGGTAAGCAAGAAAGAGAAAAGAGATGGTGAAGGATTGGTGTGGAGTAAGTTATGTGTGGACGAGTATGTGTGAGTAAGTTGTGTATGGATGAGTTGTGTTTGTGTGTGAGGTGTGTGTGTGTGCGAGTATGTGTGTGTGGTGTGCGGCCACGATCAAAGATGCCCCACGCCAGGAAGTGCGGCGAAGGGCAATCGATGCGTGACCATTGATTATGTGTCCGCAAACGTACAGCGCAGACCATCACGAAAACGGATGGCCCACGACTGGCGTTTGGATGATGTGTGGGTGTGTGTGTGTGTGCGTGGGCGTGTATGTGTGCGTGCGTGCGTGCGTGTGTGTGTGTGTTTGTCTGTCTGTGTGTGTTTGTCTGTGTGTGTGTGTGTTTGTCTGTGTGTGTGTGTGTGGGTGTTTGTCTGTGTGTGTGTATGTGTGTGTGTACGTGTGTGTATGTGTGTGTCTGTGTGTGTGTGTGAGTGCGGGTGTCGGCGTGGACCATGTACGCGATGAGGTCAGTACCTGGCAGGTAGTATCAGAAGATGCGATCACGCTGAAATTGCAACAAAACAGCTGTCCATGGGCAGTGCAGAATTTAGCCTACAACGCTCCTGTTCCTCTTGGCTTGTCAACTACTGCCCCACGACACCGGTGCAGACAAGCGCATGAGCAACAAACACAGCTGCACCTTTCGAAGTTTTGCCGCTATGATTCATCGGATAACGCATTTGCTTCTCGCATCAACTATCGCACAGTGCTTCAATGTGGCCACAGGAGCTATGGAAACTACCTTGCCTCAATCCATCGGATGACACACTTCCTTCTCGAACAACTGTCGCAGTGTTATAAACTCTCTTCAAGAGGAGAGGCATCATCTTTGCACGGTGCATCAATGTGCCCACACAAGCTGTTAACACAAACTTCAATATCGCAGGCATCATCTTCGCACATTGCATCAATGCGCCCACGACAGCTGTTGACAGTGTACCATCCCATGACATGAAGCTCTCGCGACATCTGCCTACATGGCATCATAAGGCAGTAGAGCAAAATACAAATAATGGTAGCTACCTCGCCTCAATTCATCGGATGACACACTTCCTTCTCGTAACAACTGTCGCACTCTGATAAACTCTCTTCAGCAAGCATCATCTTCGCACAGCGCATCAATGTGCCGACACAAGCTGTTAGTATAAACTTCGCTATCGCAGGCATCATCTTCGCACATTGCATCAATGCGCCCACGACAGCTGTTGACAGTGTGCCATCCCATGACAGGAAGCCGAAAGGAAGCTAACGACCAGAAGCTATGGTTCAGTGCGACGTTGGCACTTAGAAAATGTCCCTTGTCGACATTCTTCTGCTCGCTTCTGAAATGCGGCAACTTTCTCAGCGATCGCTGCTGGTGGCCCACGTTCGAGAACATCCCGTGGCGGTGGACGTAGCAATAATAAATCACCCAAAGCCGTCACGCGGCTGAACATGACGTAAAGATGGAGCCACCAATTGTCGTCGTCCATCTCTGGCAAACGCGCACAATCAACCACTGTGCCTTTCCGCAAAGTCAAACCCTGCGACCCTGTGCTTGTAAAGAAGTTTGCATGCGTCATCCTGAATCCACAGCGGCGCACCTGGTAATTCTGCGTGCTGGAGAATTTCACGACAATTTCTTCCGCAGGCAAAAACCAGAAGCTGCGAGCCAACTTTTCGGCCGTTGCATCATTTGGGACATGTTGCCGGCATAAGTCCATCAAATTCATCCAGTCAGAACATCCCTGGAAACCATCAATGGACAGCCAAATGCCTGACGGCAAATACCGTGGCGAAAACAGATCTCCACCAGCGCAGTGAGAATAGCGTCGGCGATCTTGGCTGTGAAACTCAAAATCCATGATGGTGCCAACGGTGTCTTGAATCATTCCTTTGTCAGCATCCAACTTCGCGATAAGTCGCACCTGCATGCCGACATGACAGGGAAAGATTCCATGCATATGACCAGTGCGGTAGGGATTCGGACGGTTCAAGAAGCGGAAAGCAGTCTCCTTGTCCAGGTCACTGCACACATCAGCTGCCTGAAGCAAAACTAATGGATGTGCCAGGCGGACAGCATCCATGAGCGCTCTGCGGCACATCATGCGACCCAAAGAGGCCCAGTAAATCGACATGCCGTATCCTTCGCGAAACTTGGCTTCGTCGAACCGTGCATCTTGCACACCAGGAGAAACATCTACCGCAAACCTTTCCTGCAACCTTGCCCACAACGAATCGGGAAAGCGTTTGCCAAACCGCATGTGCTGCAAAATGTCAATCAAAGGGTCACCAGGTTTGAATCGCATTGTGCCACGGAGCTCGAAAACATCTGGAATCGAGCCAAAAAGTTGCTGTGCATGCTGCACCTCTGCTGGCACGTCCTGGTAGACATAATTCCCATCGTCGTCCTTCGCTTCCAAGTCGTCCAGCAACGACAACTGCGCAGTAGGACGAAGCTGAAAGAAATCACCAAGGTGCAGAACAATCGGCACGCGACCAAAAGCACAACCAGTTTTTGTGTAGGTGTGTCGGTCCACTTTGAAAACGACACGACGACCCAGCATCGCTCGATAGTCCAACATGTTGTACAACACAGCAGATACCATGCTGATCTCCTCCACGACCAACACGCGAACCGAGCCCCAGAGTTTTTGTAGCGCGTTTTCTTTGGAGCCGGCCGCCATGTTGCTGTTCGTCAGGGACTGGACACCGAGCAGCGCGGCTCCGTGTAATGTCCTTGCCCGCACCTGCTCTGTGGAGATGTTTTTGGCCTGCGCATTCTTGGCGGCCACAACCATCAGGGTCTCTGCCTCATTGTCTGCTGGCCAAATGAAATGGACCACTGGAAAAATGATATTCTGCACGATGCGCGTCTTGCCAGAGCCGCCTTGACCCAGAAGGAGCATGTGGTAGACATGTCGCTTGTCGGGCGGCTGCTCCGCGACTTCTTGCTCGTAGACAACGTCGAGCACCTCGGCAAAGCGCATCATGAAAATTTCCTGGTCCTCGTTCAAGCGCCTGTTGGCGGGTAATGCTTGAATCATAGCTTTCACTAAGTCAGAAGGCTTGCTGTAAACCCGTTGCTGGCTGAAGCGAACACAATCAGCAGGCAGTCGAGGTAAACATTTCTTCAAAAAGACGTGGCGGTCGTCCTCGCCCGTGTCCATGGGCGCTGCTTCCTCTTCTGCGACTGCTCCGGTACGTGGTCCATCCAAGACGTCTGCTCTTCGGTCCTGATCAGCAATGTTCTGACGGCCACCAACGCATAATTTCAATCACAGATTTCAAACGACACAGAAACATTAAACAAAAGTTCTTTGTGAACACAAACCAAGCAGCTGGTGACAAGCTGTTCAATGCATGAAACACGGCATGCAGGTCGTGTTTGCTGCAGCTCTTCCACTTAGCAGCCGCTTCGAACAAATCATTCTTGATCCACGCCTCCTCCAGAAAATCTTTTGTGTACTGATTGTGTCGCCCTTGGCATTCGAACAGCAACAGTTTCTTCTGCTCTTCTGCGTTCGCTTGGAACACGATGGGTTGAAAGACTTCCGATGGCTTTGTCGCAACACTAACTTCCATCTCTTCCTCTGGATTGTCAGCAGCCTCATCGTCGTCCTTCTCTCCAGCCGTGGTGATCTTCACGTACTCTTCATAGAGCCGCGCATCAGTGTCGCGGCGCCGCTTCGGTTTCTGTTGCCTGGCTCGCGCCAATCCCTCCAGATGCGCAATACGACTTTCGGCCAACATAGAAGAATATTGTGCTGCAGTGCACCGTGGCTTCAACCGATCAGGGTCTGTGTCTGGAGTTGTCACTGTGGTGCCTGTCGCCAAACTCAACTTCTCTTCCAGCAAAGCAACCATTTCAGCTGTCTCCCATAAAGACGGATATTGTTGACGGGCAGCAAAGCGGTATCTGGCGATCGTTGCTTCTCGTTTCATGTCATCCTGCCATTCAAGCAAAGATCGGGTGAAGGCAACGGCAGCCGTTTCCGACATATCCTCTCCAGGGACGCGTTTTTTTGGTGTGGAATAGTGCTTAAAAGCTTCCAACACCAATGTCTCCGCATCCTGCTCGACGTTCTCGTCGGCAAGGATTGCGGTAGGACGACATTGCACCTGTTTGTACATAGCGTTGCGCTCAGAGTCCAAAGTCAACGGAGGCATTGTGAAGCCTTCAAACATAGGAACACGAGGCTCAGTACTGATGCGTTGGGCATGAGTCTGGTACAACTTGTAGGCTGGGTCGAAGTACACATCAACATAACGAGGTATGGCTGCTCGAACCGACCGCTCTGCGCGCGGCGGCAACTCGATGCGGTAGACCCACATACCGTATGTTGACCAACTCAATCCTGCGACGACGAAAACACACAGTGTAACACCTTCCTACTTCGAAACTTTGATGCAAACTCCAAAAACTACTCGTGCAAAAAAAACACAAAAAAGAACAAGAAAAGACCCATCTGGCCTGCAAGCAAAGGATGTGACCCACGAAACAGATAATCCTCCAGACTGCTTGTAGTCACTGCCAACGGCCTCGATGACTTCAACAAAGATGATCCCTCAAGAACAGCAACATCTTCTCCAGTAGCTTGCAAAGCTCTCAAGTTGGTGGCCTCACCCGATTCAGTGTCGTCTCGTGCCACGGTTTCTGTCACCTGGTGAATCTTTAACAGTTCTTCTATGAATGTCAATTTTTGTTGGGCCTTTTTCCCTGGACCACCTCTGTCCAAATCAACCGATGAATCGTACACAGCAAATGCTTCGTCCAAATCAGCACAATTTTGCCCATGAGGACCAACATAAACATAGACACTCTC